GGGGGCAGGGCATACAGAGTGACCAGGGTGAGTCTGTCTGTGTGGAGACAGAGGGGACCGTGTGTGACCAGGCCTGGTCTGTGTGGGGACAGAGGAGACCGTGTGACCAGGGTGAGTCTGTGTGGGGGCAGAGGGGACCGTGTGACCAGGCTTGGTCTGTGTGGGGGCAGGGCATACAGAGTGACCAGGGTGAGTCTGTCTGTGTGGGGACAGAGGGGACCGTGTGATCAGGCCTGGTCTGTGTGGGGGCAGGGCATACAGAGTGACCAGGGTGAGTCTGTGTGGGGACAGAGGAGACTGTGTGTGACCAGGGTGAGTCTGTGTGGGGGATGGGACATACAGAGTGACCAAGGTGAGTCTGTGTGGGGACAGAGGGGACTGTGCGACCAAGCCTGGTCTGTGTGGGGGCAGGGCATACAGAGTGACCAGGGTGAGTCTGTGTGGGGACAGAGGAGACTGCGTGACCAGGCCTGGTCTGTGTGGGGACAGAGGGGACTGCATGACCAGGCCTGGTCTGTGTGGGGGGTGGGACATTCAGAGTGACCAGGGTGAGTCTGTGGGGACAGAGGAGGCTGCAGTGACCAGGGTGAGTCTGTGTGGGGACAGAGGGGACTGCATGACCAGGCCTGGTCTGTGTGGGGGGTGGGGCATACAGAGTGACCAGGGTGAATCCAAATGGGCGGGGGGCAGGATGAGTGATGAGATAGGGTATGTGTGGAGGACAGTGTGAAGTGTGTGATGAGGTGGGATCCCTCAGTGGGGGGGGAGAGTTGATAGATGGGGTCTAGAAAGTGCTAGGGAAGCCTTGAGGAACTAGCTAGATGTGGATGGCCGGCAGCCAGGCTCTGGTCAGCAAGAGAGAGAGGTCTGAAAAGGCCACCTCTCTGGACTGGAGTTTTTCTGCGTGTCTGTCTTCTCCCTGAGCTCTGTGTCTGGCCCCTACCCATGACCGCATCCACACCATCCTGTCTCATCGGCCCTGCCTTGGGCCCTGGGCCCGGCCCCCAGCACCGCGCTTGCTGGACCCATCACCAACTCATCTTTTTGCAAACTTTGAGCAAACCCAGGAGCCCCCCCTTCCCTGCACTGTGGGCAGCCCACAGGCTGCCCGAATGAGCTGGGGACCCGTAGCCTCGTACTTCCCTCCATGGCCCACTCGCTTTTCTGTCCTCAGGGACAGGCTGCCCTTTGCCAATGCCCCACCTCTGGCCTGTCCCCCTCCCCCACTAAACAGTTTTCAGTGTCTCAATAGCTTCTGCTTATATGTTTGAAGATTCCAAACTGAATGGGGAGGTGGCGAAGGCCGCGCTGGCGAACGAAGACTGCCCCCACATAGACCAGGCCCTCACTCCTGATGAGGGCCTGCCCTTTACTCGCTCGGGCACCCGCGAGAGATACGGACCCTGCTTCCTCTTATCAACCGGGGAGTACGCGTGCCCACCTGGTGGAGGAATGAGAAAGGGTATGTAGGGGAGGCGGGGGCACTCTGCATCAGCTGGGCCGCCTCGCGCTCCTGCAGATGGGCGGGTGGGGTGGCGGGGGAGGGGTGCTGAGGGGCAGGCAGGCACGCTGAGGGGGGGCAAGGAGCAGAAAGAGCCCCCCCAGGGTTGGTCTCTGGAGGTCTGAGTCCCTTTCTCCCAAGTGGGATGTCAGGCTGGCAGAGAACACTTGAGGTCCCAGTAGCTGGGGTTGGAACTGAGCTGAGGGGTAGGAAGGGGTTCAGGGACAGGCTGGATGACTACGGGGCTGTAACCCTCAGGCAGGGGTCACCTGGGGATGTGAGGGGAGCCTTGACTCCTCCGGGCTGCTCCGGCAGATGGCAGGTGAGACCAAGAAGGCAAAGTGATCTCCCCTGTCCCTTGGTTGCAGAGAGCAACAGGGTGGGCCTGGCCTGGCCAGGACCCTGGGGGCTTAGCCACCCGAGGTCCGTGTTCTGGAAGAGCACCCTTTAAAGAGAATCTGTAGGCCAGTGGGAGGGGAGGCATGGAGAGAGGTGGCCTCAGGGCTTGGGGATGAGGCCAGTGTCATTGCAGAGGTAAGATGTGTGCTAGTCAGAATATTGCTAGTGGTAGTTAGAGAACTCACGGAGAGAAGGTTAAGCAGGACTCTGCGCAGCACCTTGCATCCCTGGTCACAGCCCCGGGTGTGGTTAGCGCCCCCTTGTGGTTGGTGAAGGCTAAGCTCCACGGTGGCCTCTGTTCAAGGTCTCCTTTTATCAGACCCTTATCTGAGGCTGACCCCCTGGGGTGAAGACTTCTCCTAGAGCTTGAGCATGGGCTGGAGAGAAGCTGGAGGCGGGGGCCCAGAGCACCCTAGCTCCAGGCTTCGGGCATTGGCCTGGAAGGTAGAGGAAGCCATCCTCGGCCAATCGGACTGGCTGGGCAACTCATGCATGTCTGGGAGTGCTTCACGGGCTCACACGGGACGCATGCTGACCGGAGTGAGCAGGCTGGGCCGGAGCCATAGTTGGTTTTTTTAGAGCAATAGTTGGTGTAGCCTGTGGCCATTCACGACTGCTCCGGTATTTGAAGCGGTTCAACAACACACAAGGAGAAAACACAGAATTTAAAATAAAGGGCCAACCCAAGCCCAGGAGAGGAGAGGCACCTACGCTGAGATAGGGAAGTCCTTCTGGTCGCTGGTGCTTAGTGTGCCCACCTGATCCGGGCTGGCTCCCGCTCCCTTGCCCTGCCTGGAGGTCCCTCGGACCCCAGTGCGGCATATACCCTGCCCGCATGGTGCTGCATGGTGGAGGGCTGCGGGCCTGAGGCGGGCCCATCCTTGGCACCTTCCATGGATAGGCCTGATGCTCCCCTTCGCAACTGGCTTCTCCTGGGTGGAGGCTCTAGGATCCGAGGAGCAGGGGTGGCCCAGGGGAAAGAAGGGGAAAGCAGGGAGGCTTTGTGTGTGCTCTGCCTGGTAAGTTCTCATGGGCTGCCTGTCTCCTTCATCTTGAATGCTGGGTCAGTCTGGGTGGCCTGAAAGAGCAGACAGGAGAGTCTCTTCACTGTGCTTCCAGAAGCCCAGGGAGAGTGGGACAGAAGAAGCCCCATCTCCCTGTAGTGGCCGAGGGAGCCCAGTGGCAGCCACCGTCCACAGGTGGGACCTGCTGCCCAGTCCCACAGAGGCGGGGGTGCCAGAGTCTTTGGGAGGCACGAGGGGTGAAGTGCCCCCACCCCCATCCACCCGGCCCTGTTCTCATGGAGTCATGACAGCGCTGAGGACTTGCTTTTCTCAGGAGAATTGCAGTGCCTCAGCCACATGCAGAGTAGGAAAGTTAGGGACTCGACCCGGTCCCCAGGAGGGAGAAAGAGAGGCGCTGGGCCGGCTCACTGCATGGGAACACCACGCCAGCTGGAGAAGACTCTGCCTGCCTCTGCATGCGGCTGTTCTGTCTTTCCTCCTCCTTCCTTAAAAACTAAGTACCAAGCGGGATGGGAAAGCCAAGAAGAGAAGCTCAAGTGTTAATTGTATTCTTTACATACAGATCTTTGCAAAGAAAGCCCTGTCATTGCTAAGTATATGCCGACAGAGGCTGTGAGAGTGACTTGACCAGGCGGCTTGGCCGAGGACACTGGTGGCTATTAAGCATCTGGGTGGACCAGCAGCCCCTCCTCACCCTCGGACAGAGTAAATTCACGCCATGCAGGTTTGCCGGACGAGTCCGAGTGGCCCAGGTCTTGTACTAGGACGGACGTAGCTTTTTCTACGGCCAAATGGTAACTGACCGTAGAGGATTTCTTTTCCTTCTTTTCTTTCTTTCTTTCTCTCTCTCTCTTTTTTTTTTTTTTTTTTTTACATTTTATTTTATTCGGGGAGGGAGGTGGAGGGGTTCCTTAGCATGACTTGCATGAAGTTAAACAGAAAACCCAGCAAACCAAACCCACCAACCCCCTGCAACTGTAACGATCACCCTAAACAACAAGAAAAAAAAAAAAGCAAAAGTCCTCTATTTTCTTTCAAAGCTCTTTACTTTTACACACGTTGCTGGAGCCAGACTGTAACGGCATTTGGTAGAAACCTGTACGTTTCTGGGGGTGGGTGGGGTGGGGGTGGGGATGGGGAATGGACGGCTTCCCTTTTTGTACACGAGCTCGAGAGTCAAGGTTCCAAAAAGGGCAGTCGGTCAGTCATTGGTCATATTGACCTCACCTTCATAGCGCATCTCTCACGCGGAAACTGAGAACTTTGCTCCAAATAGAATTGTGGAAACGTGCACTGCTGCTTTCTTCCCTCTCTGTCTGGCATGCTTGTGACCCAGCGGACGTCTCCCCAAGACCCCTGTCAGCGGCTAGTCTAGGTTGATTCTATCATCTTCTTGGTGTGTAGATCCAGTGTGACCAGCTCTCATAACAAGTTGTTCATAGTAAATAATCCGCACCGTACGGATCTTCCGAGTGTTCCTTTAGAGCACCAAACGATCAGGACCACGGGAGGGGCGGCCCTCCTCCACCTTTATTAAGGCACAACCTGGCATTGTATGCAATTTAGTACTTCAGAGTAAAAAACTGCATGCCCAATGTTATGCAAAGCGATTCTAGCATGAAATAAATTTTGTATCATGGTTTCTGTATAGTCTAAAGCAGATTTGTTTTCCTGAAGCAATCGGAGGTTTGCAGAGACCCACTTCTGCATCTTGAATAAATATAGTATTTTCCCAACAGAAACAGAGGACAGTAGCTTGGCTTTGATCTGATTCTAAAATTAGTGGTGGGGTGGGGGGTGGGGAAGGATGATATTTTTGAAAAACACATGCTTGAGTTGAAAAAAAATGCAACATCTCGAGCTTTCACTGCAGCTCGCAACATTTCCTGGAAAGAGAGCAATGCTGCTTTAGCTCAACACCCTCCCCTCCTTGGGCCCTGGCCCTCAATAATAAAAAGCTGACTTTTGAGATGAAGCACGGATTCTCGGATTTTTATTGCCCTGGGCAGTGTCGCAATTCGGTTCTGCCTGTCATCAGGCTGCTGGGCTGGGCTGGGCTGGGGTAAGCCTGAACCCTGGCCCCAAGGTGCTGGCTGTCCTCCTGCTGGGAAAAAACAGGCTCTTCCAGTTTGGTCTGGGGCGGAGACAGTTCTCAGAAGGCATGGGGCATACCAAGACTTGACCCTAAAAGGAGCACATCCTCTAGGGGGTTCGCTGACACGGAAACTTCTCTGCAAGTCCTGCCATATAGATGACTCCTTGAATCTGGCCATGTCAGAGCTCCCAGTCCCCGTGCAGACCTTCGTCACGTCCCTCGTAGGGCCATTCATGAATCTGATGGTGGCAGAGGCAGGGGACTGACTGACAGGTCTGGGTGCCCTGCCCAGCTGCACCCTGCTGGGCCCAGTTTGCCAGACCACCTTACTGCACACATCACACTCAGCCAGGAGGCATCTTGAAGGGGAGGAGCCCTCTCTCAGGGATCTTGATTTGCACGGGTTGTTCACTTGGTTTCTCATGAGGGATAGAGTAGGGACTGGGTTCCAATTCTTTTCTTATTCATTGGAGAATCCAGGAATGTTCAGGTGGAAAGTCCCTAACGGTCATGGCCATCAGCCTCTGAGCATTTTATAGATGAAGTGAAGTCCACAGAAGAGAATGGTCTTCCCAGGGCCACAAACAAGTGGGTGTCAGTCTCCCTGGATTTCAGCTCCCTTGACGCCCCCAGCATGGCCTGAGTCAGCCGTCAGATGGGTGGGTGGGAGGCTGAAGGTGGGGGTGAATTCTCACCCAGCAGTGCCTTGTCCCCTCGGAGGCTTTGCCTGTGTGGCCCAGGAACCAAGGGCGGGCGGTTGGTGGGGCAACGGGTACAGTAAGGCCCAAGGGGCCATGTAGCCGAAGAACTGCCAGGTCACACTATGCGTGTCACAGCCGTTCACAAGTATCGGGATGTGAAAGCCAAGCAGCCTCAGCTGCCGCAGGGAACACCGTGTTCACTCTACTGGGAGCCAGCTTGGAGGAAGCACCTCTGGTGGCCTCAAGTGGACTAAACACAAAGCCATTTGCAGTGTGGGTTTTCCGGGACATAGTAGCTAATGGGGAAAAGAGATGAACATACACCGAGCGTCTGCACATGGGGGGCATCTGGGAAACATGGTCTGATGACAGCCCACAGTAATTCCACCGGCCCGTTTTAGAGGCTAGAGGACAGGTGCAGAGAGGCTAAGTAACTGGCCCAACGGCACCCAGCCAATGAAAGATGAAGGAAGATTTTAACCTAGGCGGGCTGACTCCAGGGCTCAGGTGAAGCCGTCACAAGCTAACTGGGGTCTTCCTGGGACTGGAATCCGGAATTGATAGGAACACTAGCGTGGCTGGTCCTAAATCCCAGGGCCCTCAGGACCCGGCCTCCTGCCAGCCTTCATAAAGCACCGTGGGTACGAGGGAAGCGGCCACTTTACATGCTGCTCAGAGCCTTCCATACACACGTCTGGCCACCTCACTCTCCTGCTTGAACCCCTGCCCTCACTCTCTCTGACCGTCCCACCATGTCCTACCTAATGTGCTAACTCCCAAGTCCCATCTATTACTAAGCCTCTTTCCTCGGAACTGGCAGATGCCCGGGGGGCGGGGGGTCAGGGGCAGGGAAAGAGCACTTTCCTCTGAGCCCCGGGCCCAGATTCACCTTTGCAAGCACAGCCTCATCTAGTTTGGATCTGACAGCCTACTGGAACCAAGAGGGTGGGGGTATCAAGGGAAGGGGGGTGCCTGTGGCCCAGAAGGGAGAGTATGTGGCAGACAGGTGAGGGTATGAACAGCCCACTCACACCTGGAATGTGGTGACCATACACAGTGTCCGCAGACGCCAGGCCCATGACCTGTGAGTACACGGTGGGGCTCGCGCCCCTCTTCTGTTCCCTTCCTCCTTCTCACGCGGGAGGAATACAAAGGCCGATCTACTTGGCCTATCAGAAAAAAAGGAATTTTTAAAAATGGGTGGGTATTTACTCGCATTGGCCCCCATGGCACATTAGCTAACCCGGCGGAGGATACTGACCTTCACTATCACCTAGTTCTGACTGCACGGTACAGTTCTCACCCACGTGTAAGAGACAAGCAGAGGGCAGGCGGGTGGGAGGGCGTGTGACCCCCTCATTCAGCCTCCCCACCCCATGGTGGCCCTAAGAGTGTACTCATCAGTTCATTCGTTAACACTTCCCGGGCACTTCCTCCGTGGATCAGGGTCCATCCTTGGTGAAGGGGTTCCAGAATCCACCAAGACCGGGTCCCTTGCTCTCGAAGAGCCCAGGGTCTGTTTGGAATGAGGGGCGTGGACATCTCCAAGTCTGAGAATGACCACAGGAATCAAAGGGTCTGGAAAACATCTGGGCGACCCTGTCGACAGCCCCCTGGAGTTTCCGGGCACTCATCAGGCCCAGCGGACGGGCTTGCAGAAAGCCCGGCAGCTGCCGTAGGGAAGGCACAACGGAGGAACCCGAGGTGACGGAGCCATCCGCGGTGTCGTCTAGAGCCGGGAGCCATTCACTGCGCCGTGTGCGGATGGCCTGCGCCCGCAGGCCTACAAGAAGGCTCTGAATCAGCTTCTGAGCCAGAGTTGGCTGACGCAGCCTGCTCGTTTCAGGCTGGGAAGGAGCCCTGAGACACGTCTTTCTCGGGAGAGGCACCGGGGCTCAGCAGAAGACTTGGACCTGGGACTTCTTCCAGCCGGTGCTGAAGGAGGCGGGAGGGAAGCCCATGCTGCGGGAGACAGCGTGCTGGCTCCCTGTGAGCAGTAAGCCCGTCTGGGAAGTATGGGCCTGGGTACTATGCCGTGTGGGGCTGCTTTCTGACCTGTGTGTCTGATGCCGATCATTTCTCCTGTAGGACCGTGGCGGGCGGCCAGTAACTGCGGGCTTGCTCCAGTATGAGTCATCTCTGGGCCATCCAATTGCTCCACCTCTGAACCGGGTGTAGGAATCTTGGCAAGAGCAGCTCCGAGTGCACAGAGATTTCCTTCTCATTGCAGAAGCGCTTAGGGCCCATTCGAGCCTCTGCTGGTTCTGGGAGGTGGGCACCAAGGGCTTTGCTGGCCAGCGCAGTGCTGTTTCTAGGATACAATATCGGGAGCAGGACTCCATGCACTGGTGTTCAAGGGCAGCCAAGGGCTATGGGTGGTCTCTAGGTTCAGGCCTGGGCAGCTCAGGATTGCCCCATCCCCACTCCACTGAGCCAACCCACTCCTGGTCCCAGGGGTGTCCCTCATCTGCCCCCCTGGTCTGGCTCAAGGCTCTGGATGGCTCACCTCCCAATTAGGACCCTGGGCCAGGAGTGAGGTATGTGGCCCCTTCCCCTTTATAGGCCTCTGTTTTCTCAAATGAATAATGAAAATGTTGGATAAGACCAGTGGTTTCAAAACTTTCTCAAGGACCCCTTGTCAAGTGAAATCTTGTGTGAAGCCCAATATATAATATAGATGAAAATAAAACTGCTGTGAATAAGGTGGAGGGTGGGGACCCGGACCTCTGTTCACATGGCTTTCCCTCACCCATGGCCCACCCGGTGGCCTCTGAATTCTCAGGAGACTTCTGGGGCTCTAACAAATGCACTTTGAAGGCCACTAGGCTAGGAGGTCATCTCCCTGGTCCTCTGATGTCCTGGGGTTTTGTAACTTCCTAAAGCTTAGCCCGCACAGAGCCAATCATCTCCTGAGTCACAGAGGGAAGGTGGTGTGGAACAGGCCACAGACTGGGCTAGCTACCTGGCAACACTGCCACACAGTCCCCCCAGAAAAGCCATTTTCTAAGGCAGAGAGGCACTATGTCCCCCCAAGTCACAGCTGTCACCTAGGGAAGCCTGGGGCCTATGGTCTGGCCTGGTCCCCATTTTACCTGAAGGCCCTCCTCCTGCAGAGGCAAGGAGGGCCGAGGGGCAGATGTCAGGGGTTAGGGTCAGCCTCCCCTTCCCATGCTGTGGCCCATCCCTCATCTGAAACTACACAGCTTGGCTATTAATTATACAGACCAGATCCAGGCTCCTGCCTGGCTCGGATGAAGACACCGATCTTCTGAGAGTTCACTGGTTCTAGATTCCCTTGTCTGTCCCAGGCGTCTCCTCTGTTAGGTCTTCCCAGAATTCCTGTCTCTTCTTCCACTCACTCATTGCCACTTCCTTCCAGCCCCCTGTCCAGAGCCTTCTCCCTTCTCCCGGCACCTAGTCACCAAGACAAGAACTCCTTCCCGTCCGAGTACCCACCTGCCTGACCAGGGTACCTCCATCTCCTCGAACCATCCAGGCCCTGAGAGTCGAAGGCTGCTGGACCATAACAACCACGGGGAATGGGGCTGGGTTTTCTGTCCCCACCAGGTGAAAACAGGCCTGTTTTCCATGTCCTTTGGTGATTCTAGTTTAAATGTCGCTTAGAGACCAGATTCCCCAGCCATGCAACCAACTTGGGTTCTTGTTATTGCCCTCATGAGGGTCCTTGTTCCCATCTGTCTGTGTCCTTGAATCCCAGACACTGGCCAGGCGGCCTCCCATCGTCCTGACCTGTGGTCAGCCTGGCCTGTGGTCAGCCCAACCATAGGGCCTCCAGGGCCCTTCTCAGGCCAACCCTACAACCTGACCAAGCAATCCTCTGGGAACACGTTGGGTGGGAAAAGTCACTTTATTTAAGGGCCTCTGTCACAAGCCCCCCATTTCTGGACCTGCCGGGCTGGCTCTGAGTAGAGGTGTCCGGTTGCCTTTCCTTCCAGTTTCTCTCTTTGTCCCTGGCTTCCTGAGATTCAGCGTCCTCAGGGGCATCCAGGGAAGAGCCAGTGACCAACTGAGGGAGGGCCGGCAACTGGCAGAGGGCTAGGGAGTGGCCAGCCCCACAGCCCACAAGGAGTCCCAGTGATGACCGCAGGGCCTGCACAGGCTTCGGGGCCCAGATGTTGGCTTCGGAGCCATCCCCGCACATGCCGTGCTCGTTCCAGCCCCAAGAGTAACACGTCCCTCCTGTGAAAGAGAGAGAAGACTGCTCTAGAAGAGGTTTTGAGAACAGGGCTGAAACACTCACCCTGGGGGCACAGGGAGCACCATAAACCCCAGTTTACACACGAAGAAACCAAAGTTCAACCACACTTGGTGGCATGCTCACTACCCCTGCTTCCACCCTGCCCCCCAGGGCCTTTTCAGTGTCTCCCACTCCCACCAACCCACAACCATCGCCAGCCCAAACCTGGCTTTCCTCCTTGGCCCTTCCCTCACTATAACCTCCTCTACCACCGGCCCCAACCCACCATGATCCCAGACCTGCCAACTCTGCCTTCAGAAATACTTCAAATCCTTCCGGGTCTCTCCATCTCCGCTGCCATCGCCTGATTCCGACCCCATTCTCCCACACATGAAGTCATGCCAACAGCCAACAGACTAACCGGGCCGCTCACCATCCACCCCAATCTTCAACGAGAGTCTAGGTGATCTCTGACAACTGCAGGTCTGATCACATCACTCCCCAGCTCCAAAGCCTTCAGGGACTTCCCATACGCTTCAAGGCCTTTCCTCGGCCTGCGAGGCCCTGAGCGATCTGGTTCCTGACTACCTTGCTGGCCTCCCTTACGAAACTCTCCCCCCACCCCACTGCATTCCAGAACCCGTGCCTTCTTCCACTTCCTTATGTAGGCCTCGTAGAGCCTTTCTTTCTCTTGAGACCCTCTCTATACTGGGTTCCAGACCTCCTCATCCTTTAGATTCCAGTTAAATGTCGCTCCACAGCCAGATTCCCTGGCCACCCAATCCAACTTGGATTCTTGTTATCACCCGTGGACTCTCCCCTCATGGGGGCCCTCGCACTTTGCGGTGGATCGATGAATTGTGTGGTGATGTGTGGTGACTGGTCCCTCTCACTGGGCTAACTGCTCTACAGGGAGGGAAGGACTGTGTATGTCCCGTTTACTGCTGTATCCCTAGCCTGGCGCTCAATAAGGGCTCACTGATGGGGTAAAAGATTGAACAAACTCAGTCATAGAGCCAGAGAGTCTCCAGGCCAGCATTCAAGGGCAGATTTCTCCAACAGCCTGTGATGTCCACACCCCATCATATGCCCTCTTTCTAGCTTTTAGATCCTTTCCTAGGCCAAACTCACTCATATTTTTCTATAGTCATTAAAAATATTTTTTGTCCAGTTTATTAAACTAATACATCTTCATGACAAAAAATGGAAAATATGGATGAGTGTAAAGAAAAAGCAGACTTTGAGTCTTGCCACTAGTATGAATATTTTAGTGAGACCTTCAATTTGTGAAATTTGTAAATATTTGTGTATATTTTGTCCTGCTTTCGTCCCTTACTATTAGAACACCGGTATTTCTCCACAGAACCACAAATTATTCAAAAAGTAAATTAAAAATACTTTGAAATTTTGAAATTGTTCAATATGCAGAAAGGTACAAAAAATAATTTAACAGAAAAGACACATACCCCATCCAGACTTAGAACATTAGTCAACGTTTTGCTGTATCTGCTTCAACCCTCCCCTTAAAAAAAAAAAAAATCAATCATAAAGAAACAATCTAAGCCCCGCCTCCTATTCTTGCCCTCTAGCCACTTCTCCCAGCAAAGAGCCACTGTTTCCAAGCCGGTGTTCATTACTGGTATACTGGTTTTATACTTCCTACCTATATGTCCTTAAATACTGTGTAATGTTTTTAGGTTGTTTTAAAGATTTACATAAATAGTATCATTGAGATATCTTTTTTATACTTGCTTTTTACACTCAGCATTGTTTTTTGAAATTTATATGAGCCGATAGTTAGAGATCTAGTTCATTTATTTTAACTGTGCATAGTATCCCATTACGTAGAGGTCAGATTTTACTTATCCATTTCCCTTCTACTGGACAGTTCTTTAATGACTGTTGCTATTTTATTATGCAATATATAATGTACAACAATATTATACAATAATAGTAATTTGGCTTCTATTATAAGCAGCACTACCATGAACCTTCTTGAGCATGTCTCCTTGGTGTTTGCGCAGGGTTGGTCCCTAGAAGTGTGAGGGTGGTGGAGTCACGTGTTTGGATTTCGGTTTGGCCTAATGGCTGTCCACACCAGCTGCAGTCACGTCCAGCCCCATCAGCGATGGATCTGAATACTTCCTCTTTGTCTTTAGACTCTTGCTATTCTGCTAAGTACAATGCATGAATCTGCATTTCCCTGACTACTAGTGAGAGGGATTGTCACTTCTCGTATTGCCCTGAGTTGCCTCTTCTTATGAATGGCCTCTGCACATTCTTTACCTGTTTTTCTTTGTTTGCCCTTTTCTTACTGATTTGTAAGCTTTTTTGTGTATTCTTTTATTTACATGAATCTTCATTGTGCTATGCATTCTAAGTGTCTTCTCCCACAAGTCCATGGTATGTCTCTTCACTTTGCCTCTGGTGTCTTTTGTTAAACAAATTCCTTCAAAATGACTGCCTAATTGTCCACTGTGGAGATTCAACAGTTTCCTTAACCTGTATCCTATTATCAGACACACAGGTTGTTTCTAATCTTTCATTATTTGGAATAATATTCCTATGAACATCTTTGCATGTGAATTTTTGTCTATCTAATTGCTTTCTCAAATTAGATTCTTAGAATGGGAATTTCTCGTCAACTGGCATGGACTTTTTTGAGATTCCTGGGTGCTGTTTTGAATGCTTCCACAGTATTTTCTCAGAAAGGCCACCTGAATACAACTACAGCAACCTGGGGAAGTCTCCATTTCACTCCAGAATTGCCAGTATTTATTGCTTATTATAATGTTTAAAAATCTTCTCTAATTTGAAGACAGAAAAAGTATCTCATTGTTTTTATTGGTACTTTACTGCCATAGAAACTGAAAAATAATTCTTACGTTTCTCATATATTTGTATTTCCTCTTTTGTGTACTGTCTGCTTCGTATCTTTTTTCTGTTTAGTATAGAAGGCTTTAAGTGTCAGACCCAAGGGCCAGATGGTCTGGGTTCAAATCCTAGCTCCTCCATTTATTTTTTTATTTTTTTAAAGATTTTATTATTTATTTGACAGAGAGAGAGACAGCAAGAGAAGGAACACAAGCAGGGGGAAGGGGAGAGGGAGAAGCAGGCTTTATGTCGAGCAGGGAGCCCGATGCAGGGCTCGATCCCAGGACCCTGGGACCATGACCTGAGCTGAAGGCAGATGCTTAGTCTGAGCCACCTAGGCGCCCCTGCTCCTCCATTTATTAGCTGAGTGACCTTGGGCAAGTTACTTAGCATCTCTGTGCCTCAGTACCTTCATCTGTTAAATGGGGACTATAGTACTGTTACCATAAACTTGTTTACAAGAATTAAATCAGTAAGTACGTATGAAGTACTTAGAATGGTGCCCGGCACGTAGTATCGTATAAATATTTGTTATTGTTCTCTGTTAAGAACCTTCTTGTTTTAAAGATTTTTGTTTTAAGAATATTAATTCTTTCTCTGCCATATCTGGCATAAATATTTTTTCTCAGTTCGACTTAAAATTTTGTTTTGGGTCTTTTGATATAAAACATAAGCTTTTTGGTTCTTTATAATAAAATTCATTGATCTTCTATAATTTCTTCTACTGCTTCTAAGAATTGAAAGCCCATCCGTCTCCTATCAGGAAATATTCTTTTTTGATTTTTCAATGATTTTATTTTTTTTTAATCTTTGCATTTCACTCTTTATCCACTGAAAATCTGTTTTTCACAGGGGGAGGCTGGCTGGCCCGGGATTACCCTTCCTTTTCCTTCCCCCCAGTAGGAAGGCAATCGCTGGCCAAAAGCTTGGGTTTGGGGGAACACAGATGTCTCCCTGTTTGGCCCACGGGTGAGGAAATGCCCACAGAGAGGACGGGCCCCGGGTTGTGGCTCCTACAGTGGTGTGAGGCCCGAGGTGGGGAAGTGCGAGCGGCTTGGTACCTTTGGGCCTCGCTTAGCACCTGGCGTGGGCTTGGTGCCCGGCCCCGGGGAGTGGCAGCAGCTGACAGTCAGCAGGAGTGCCGGCAGGAGGAAGGCGGAGCTGAGCCACCCCCGCACCCCCCGCACCCCCGTCTGCAGGACGCGGCACACCGGCTGGCAGGTCCCTTCCCTCCCGCCAAAGGACACTCGCACCGAGGGCCCAGGCCAGCCAGAGGCCTGCTGCCAGGGCTTTCATGCCCACTGGGTCGAGAAGCCTGGCCAAGGGCCAGAAATTTCCTCCCCCGATCCTTCCGAAGAAGCCTACTTGAAGTTAGGTGTTTTATATTCTTCATCTCATTTAATTCCAACAACCCCAGGAGGCAGCCGTGTCTCAGGGACTATCCCCCTTTCACAGAGGCTGACGCAGAGGTACCAGAAACCGGGCAGTGCGGCTCCAGAATCCGGGCCGACTCTGCATATGATACACCAGGCCTTGCCAAATTCATTCTAAAAAGGCGGATAGTAAATATTTTAGGTTTGAGAGCCTCATTTGGTTTCTGTTGCATATCCTTCCTCTTTATTGCAACCCTTTCAAAACCATTCTTGGCTTGCAAGGCCATCCGAAACAGGCCACAGGTCAGATGTGGCCGGTGGGCCGTCCTCTGCCAGCTGGTGGCACACACGTCCAATATACACTCTTTGCTGTGGGCTGTGCTAGGCTGTCCTGGGTCCCACACTCCCAGACATCCGCGTGATCATGGTAGCTCTGTCCCCGTCTCTGTCACAGGGCTGCTGGGGGAGGGCTGCATGAGGTGACATACATAATGCCCCAGCACGGTGCCTGACACTTGGTGACAGCTCATGCCCACGAATGAAGAGACCACGGGGAAAGGAGGGCAAGGCAAGAAAGACCACGCCGGGGTCCAACGGCAGAGAGGACAGGGAAGGGCACCGGCAGATGGGAAGGCCTGGAGTGGAAGGACAAGAAGCTTAGAGTTTCTGAACACTTTACACAAACTTCCTATGGGAAAAAACCAGGCTGCTGAACTTTGAAAGATTAGCTATCCCCTGAAGAGAAGACACCTTTA